AGCAGTCAGATGCCTTAGGCACTATGCCACCAGAGCTCCCGTAGGTATCTACTCAAGAGAAATGAGAATATATGTTTCCAGGGCCTTTTCCATCATTGCCCCACGGTGGGGACCACCTGACTGCCCACTGACCGGCCAGCAGGTAAGCAGCAGAATCACCTGAACAACAGAGCCCACCAAGATCCCCTGGAGGGATCTCGTGACCACGAAAGATGCAGAAATACAGGGACAGAGACAGAACACAGGTGCCGGGGACACCAGGGAACTCTTCAGTGTGACAGCAGTGTTGATTTATACCCACTGCAGAGGTGCTTACGAGACAGCGAATTTGTCAAAATTCATGCAGCACACACCTAACAGGATGAACTTTCCAGCCCACCAAGGTTTCCCACTTATCCACCCTCCTCTTCCTCCTCTGAGAGTCAGCAGGGCTGTGTGTTCAGCCATTGTGCTCAGCGGAGCCCCGAGGGCATTCCCAAGGGACTAACATTCCAGGAGCAAAGTGGCCCTCTGCTCAGCAGGCTTGTGCACGTAGCAGACGTGGCCGGGACCGGCCGCGGCAGAAGGTGGGCAGCTGGTGCCTGCGCTGGCACCCACGTGCTCTGGGTCCGGGGCTGCTTCCGGCAACCCTGGACAGAGGGGTGGGGCTCAGCTCGCTGCCTGGAGGATCAGCCCTCTTGCCCGGCACCGTGGCACCGAGGGCATGCCCTCCACCATGCCCACTGCTATCTGGACCACTTGTGTGTGTGTGGGCCCATCCCAAAACACAGAGACAAACACCCGGGCCCTGAGCTCCAAGATGGTCTGCAGCTGACTCAGCGCGTCCCTGGAAGGTGAGAGCGGCAGCGAAGTGAAAGGCTGGTGATGCGGCCAAGTGTCTCATGCGGCCACTGTCACAGGGCCTTTGTCCAGGGCTGAGTGGTCATCGTCACGGTCCCCCTAGTCTCCACGTGGCTGGTCCTGTCACCACAGACGGGCCCTGCCACTGACTGAGCTCATACAGATAACACCCATTCCACGAGAGCGGCCTCCTGCCTGACGTCTTCACGCCACGCTGAGATGAGCAGACTGCTGAAGGGCCAGCCCGTCTCACACGCAGTGGTGGAGGAAGACGGGACTGGGTGTGGTGTGGCCAGGGGCAGGCAGACAGGGACATGTGATGTGTCATCCCCATGCAGGGACCAAGTGCCACTGCACTAAACTTGTGGCCTAGGCCAGCTCGGTGCTCAGACGGACACCTCTGGTGTATGGAACCCACCGAGCACAGGGAAACGGTGGGACAGACGAGGGCTGTGGACAGTGTCTGGGCTGCCATGTGGCCACAAGCTGCATCATCCAACTATCCGGGGGTCCCAGTCTCTGCACCCTCCTGGACAGACGTGTTCTTCAGAAGATGTCTGCAGGTCCAAGCTTCGGACAGGATGCAGCAGGTACTCGGGCGAAGCTCCCAGGTCCCCCGGGCTGAGGACTGTGGAGGCCTGAAGCGTACAGGGGTTTGCACTGTGTTCTTCCTTGCCTCGGCATCCCAGCTGTTCCTCTCGGCCTGTTCTGCCTTCCTGGCCTTGTGTTCTGATGAGGCCTGTGCCTATAGCTGATGCCCCAGCTGACAGCTCCGAGCTCCTTTAGACCCGGGGCCAGTGGCTCTGTGCTGCCGGGCTCTGAGGGCCACCAGTGCTGTGCTCCCCCAGGGGGGTCCATTGTATCCTCCAGCCACGTCCATCACGACCCAATGCCGGTTTCCAGCCCAGTCTGTTTCCAGCAGACTAAAACAGCTCAGCAAGCCAAAGCTCCGTGAGCACCAAGGACAGGACCTAAGAGGTGACGGTAGCCACCAAAGTCCCCTGCACTGCTCCTCAGGGGCAGCCATGGCTAAGTGGGCTGGGCTCCTGTTCACTGACTGCTTGTTAGCAACTGGGAGCTGCAGAGGGACCTCCGACCTCGCGCCCCTGCCACCCCCCACTCCAAGGAGCAGCAGTCCCAAGCTTCCGGACCGAGACGGCGCCAGGCACAACTCAGATGGGACCAGGGGCCCGTCCGGCCCACCCGGTAGGCGCTACAGGTACCAGGACATCGTCTCCAGGAAACGTGCCCCCAGGAGCTCTGTTTACCTGGAATCTCCAGTGCCCAGAATTCACTGCCAAGGATCCGAACACCCATGAGCAACCAAATCCAAATGCTCAACTGTCGGGAAATCCTGCCACACTTTTTGCTCCAGAAAGACACCGAGTTCAAATGGGACTTCTGCCACGTGGGATCTTCGATGTGCAGGCCACCAAGATTTCCACTGGTCCCAGTGCCCCTCACCAGGTCATCTCTTAAAATCCTGCACATTGAGGGACTACCAGACAAACATCTGACGTTCAGCAGTATCCAGGGCGACAAGGTCAGGTGCCACCGTGGGTGTGTGTCAGGGATCTGGGATGATGAGGTCCGGCGCCACTGTGGGTATCAAGAATCCGGGATGACGAGGTCAGGTGCTGTCGTGGGTCTTTGTCAGGGATCTGAGGTGACAAGGTCAGGCGCCGTCATGTCAGGGATCCAGGGGAGAAGGTCAGATGCCATCGTGGGTATCAGGGATCCAGGCTGACAAGGTCAGGCACCATCATGGGTGTTAGAGATCCAAGTGAGGTGGTCAGGCACCGTCGTGGGTGTCAGGGATCCAGGTGAGGAGGCTCAAATGCCATCATGGGTGTCACTGTTTGCAGAACCAGCAGCAAAGAACAAAACTGGAGGCAAATGGCCGTGTGACAGACCTGATTGTCGGCACTACCCTCCTGCCCTGTCTCCTGCTTCTTTGGAATTAAGCACAGAGCACACACCCTCAGCCAGGTATATACTCCCATGTGCATGCACACCATGGGACCAGCCACATCCAGCCCACAGGGTTGACCCGCCCCAGGACACCAATGGCCTGGCCCCCAGAAAGGACATGGAAATGTCAGCCTTACTGGAAAATCTGTTAAAAAAACAAAAAAAAACAACCCACTGCAGTCAAGTCAGTTCCAATTCATAGTGACCCTATAGGACAAAGCAAAGTCACTCTGTCGTGTTTCCAAGGCTGTCAATCTTTACAGAAACAGACTGCGTCTTCCTCCCGAGGAGTGGCTGGTGAGGCCAAACTGCTCAGCTCTTTGGTTGGCTAGCCGGTGAGTGCTTAATCACTGTGCCATCAGCTCTCCTGGAAGATCTGGTAGGCAGCAAGAAATGGAGTGACAGGCGAGAGTCAGTAAACTGCCCGCAGGACAGCTGTGTAGAACGTGGGTCTGTGCAGGACACTGCCAACTGACCCCTTGGCTGGGCAGTGACATCTTCACAGCACAGCCCAGGCAGCGCCAACGGCCTGGGCGTGCACACAGGCTTTCCCGTCCCAGAGGGAGATTTAAAACTTCACACCTCAAATGTACTGCAGCACCACCACGCAGACCTCAGCCACACAGCGGATGAGAGGCGGGCCCTGGGATGCTGCCCGCTGCTCTGGCTTCCAGGGCTGTAAACGCAAAGCTTTCAAACACAGGTTTGCTTGAAAAAGTGTTTAATTAGAAACGCCGCTGTTAGACCCAGACACCCAGTAACCACACCCTCGCTCACAAGTGCCTGACTGGGGAGCCCACGCACCACACAATTGCATGTGCGTGCACACATGCATGTGTATGCATGCAGGCATGTGTGTTCGTCTATATGTGCATGTGCACACACACGTTTACACGTGTATGCACACACGCACACCAGGTTGTCTTTGATGCAGAGCCCAACCATGACGCGGTGTCGACTTTCTCAGAAGGAACGAGTCGCCTGACGGATGCTGGGGGCCGAGAGGACACATGTTCTCGTGAGGTGACTTTAATCTGCACGGACAGCAGCCCCTGCTTTTGTGGCTCCCCTGCTGTACAGCACACAGGAGTGTCTCATGCTACACACATGCACACAGGGAACAGAACACGAGGGCCACAGCTACACACGAGGCGATGAGAAAGGACTCCTCCCCAGTGGTGGGGTGTCTGCGTGGAATGAATCCGTGTGGAGCAAAGCCTTTGGCTGGGCAGGAGCAGACGTGTGGGTGCTGGGCACACTCCTAGGATTTTCCTCCCACCTGGTAGGTTCCCAGCATCTGGGCTGTGCTGACAGAGAGGCTTACCGTGGACGTTACCATGGCCCCGGGCGTCTGGGTTTCACTGTGGACACCTGACATGCCCCCGGGCGTCTAGGCTTCGCTGTGGACACCTGACAGGCCCCGGGCGTCTGGGCTTTGCTGTGGATGCCTGACAGGCCCCGGGCGTCTGGGCTGTAGACACCTGACAGGCCCCAGGCATCTGGGCTGTGGACACCTGACAGGCCCCAGGCGTCTGGGCTGTGGACACCTGACTGGCCCTGGGCATCTGGGCTGTGGACACCTAACAGGCTCCGGGCATCTGGGCTTCACTGTGGACGCCTGACAGGCCCCGGGCGTCTGGGCTGTGGACACCTGACAGGCCCTGGGCATCTGGGCTTCGCTGTGGACGCCTGACAGGCCCCGGGCGTCTGGGCTTTGCTGGCGACACCTGACAGGCCCCGGGCGTCTGGGCTTTGCTGGCAACGAGGCCAAACCGTGGACAGGGCACAGGGTTGATTAGTGCGGATTCTGCTTCTTCGGCAAGACACCCCTCAAGTCCTAGTCAAGTCGTTTTAACTTAAATATTTTAACAGTAATCTTTACATTATTTGAGGCTAATAAAGAGACAGACTCTGACAACCTCCCGTGTCATTACTCAGGTGCTTGCTAGTCTCCATTCTGAACCACCACACCAGGGAGAGCCTGCCAGCCACTAGGAGCCCCTCACAGGACGGCTCTCCAGACCTGCCCTTCCCCAGCCGGTTGAACGTGGCACTCAGGTCCCTTGCCACTGCATTCTAGGGAGGGATGTGGGCCCTCACTGCATTCCTGTAGTGACAGACTGTGTGGGTACGAGACGCTAAAGCTCAAGCCACAGTCAATGCTCACGTCCAAGCGGACTGGTGGGTCAGCCCATTTAACCCCCAGCGACCACTACACCCAGGTGAGGTTTACAGACACTGCGACAGCAGGAAAAGGTTTGACAATGAAAAGTGAATTAGAATGGAATCCTTGAGCAGGGACAGCGTGAGCTCCGCGAACTCGGCCGTTAGCGAAGCTGGTTTCGGCTGTCTGAAGCGCTGCAGCAGCCAGTACAAGGGAGTCCAGTCTGTCAGGCCTCCGGGCCCTGGGCCTCGGTCCTTCAGTATATGTCTGGGCAGTCCGAGAAGTTCCGCTCAAAGTAGCCCCCTGCATAGAGCCAGTCGGGGGTCCCCGTGTACGGGTTGTTGCCTTGGTAAAACCACCTGCAGGACACAAAAGGGGCGGGTCATAAAGGCACCGTGCGCCGAGAACCCCGGCCGCATCTTGCTGACGACTGCACGCCCTCCAGGGACACACGACCATATCGGTGCATGTTGCTCAAGTGTAGCCCAGGGTCATGTCTCCACCAAGAACGACTGAGCATGTTCCACCTGGACGCCTGACCTACCCACATCCACCAGCACCACTCACTCCAACTGAGCCCTTGTCATAGACGGGTCACCGGATTGTGGGTAAAGCCACACCTCGTGGAAGACGGCATGGCCACCCTGGCCCACATCTGCTTTCACTGAAGCCCACTCAGCTGTTTTTGTTTGCTGTTCTTCTTTACACAGGGAACAGGAGACATGGAGGGCAGAGAGACAATGATGGCACTTCCCCGAGTCACCAGCCAGATAACTCCAACAGAAGACCTAGGGCCCACATGCCCTGACATCAGAACAGCAGGACGGCCTGCAGTCCACCATGCATGGGTGTTGGCAAGGCTACCAAGGCAGGAGTCCTTATTTCTTAGGACAAAATACTATTTTCATGCTGCCTTTAAAAAAAATTTAACACTAAAGCAGAATGAAGAACGGTTGTTTTAAAGCTGATTTTCTCTGAACAAAGGCAAATTCCAGGGTCAAACCTTTAGCCTCATGATACCAACTAACTTAGAAAAGTGAGGCCTCACGGCCGTGAACAATCAGAGGTGGGCAGCCCTGCTTCTCAAAATCAGGACCTGGACAGCTGCTCAAAAACACCCAAAGAGAGCAGTGAGGCATTAGGTTTTGTGACACACACACACACACACACGTATACCGATATACACACACATGTATACACAAAGTCTACACATGCACACTGATGAACACACACACACATATACAGATATACACATACGTGTATATACACAGTCTACACATGCACGCTGATACACATACACACATGTATACAGATATACACATGCATGTATATACACAGTCTACACATGCACAGTGATACACACGTATACAGATATACACATACATGTATACACACAGCCCACACATGCACACTGATACACATACACACATAGATGCACATGTGTACATACATGTACATACCTACACACATAGACAAATCTATGTATGCATATACACATACCACACGTATACACATACACATGCAAACACATACACACACGTGCACATACAACTCTATACACACATACACATTTATACATGTATACATATACATATGGAGCTCTAGTATCATAGTGCCTAAAGCACTTGACTGCTAACCAGAAGGCTGGTGGTTTAAACCCACCAGCCACTCCTCAGAAGGAAGCTGGGGCAATCTACTTCCATAGTGATACTGCCTCAGAAACCCAAGGAGGGGTCGCTATGAATCAGGTCTGACTTGACAGCACATAACAACAACAACATATACATATTACATACAGACATACGCATCCATACACATCTTTACATACATATCCATATAAACACACATGCACATCTACGAAACTTATGTACACACATACAACACGTATATACACATACACACATGAATACGCACAAACATATATATATATACACACACATACACATATAAGTAGACACACATACACATCATCACTACTTGCCAGTCAGTTTGTGGGACTGTGGTGACCTGCGTGTGGCTGGGAGGCTGGAAGCTAGGCCACCGGTATTTCAAACACCAGCAGGGTCTCCTTGGTGGACAAGTTTCACCATAGCTTCCCCATAGTTACTCAATCTGTATGCTGAACGAATAACCTGAGAAGCTGGACTATATGAAGAAGAACGAGGTATTGGGATTGGAGGAAGACTCATTAACAACCTGTGACATGCAGATGACACAACCTTGCTTACTGAAAGTGAAGATGACCTGAAGCACTTACTGATGAAGACTGAAGACTACAGTCTGGAGTATGGATTAGACCTCAACATAAAGAAAACAAAAATCCTCACAACTGGACCAATAAGCAGCATCACGATAAATGAGACAAGACTGAAGCTGTCGAAGACTTCATTTACTTAGAGGCACACCACCACCATGGAAGCAGCAGTCGGGGTGTCAGATGCTGTGCTGCACGAGCCAATCTGCTGCACGAAACCTCTTCAAAGTGTCAAAGAGCAAAGAGGTCACCGTGAAGACTACAGTGCGCCTGACCCAAGCCACGGTATTTTCAATCACCTCATATGCATGTGAAAGCGGGACAATGAATAAGGAAGACTGAAGAAGAGTAAATGCCCTTGAATTGTGGGGCTGGAGAAGAGTACGGAAAACACCACGGACTGCCAGGAGAAGGAACAAACATGTCCTGGAAGCGCAGCCGGAATGCTCCTGCTTTGGTCACGTTGTCAGAAGAGACCACTCCCTGGAGAAGGATGTCATGCTTGATAAAGTAGAAGGTCAGTGAAGAAGGGGAAGGCTCTCAACGAGATGGACGGACACGGGGGCTGCCGTGGTGGGCTCAGGTGCAGTGAAGAAGGGGAAGGCCCGCAACGAGATGGATGCACACGGGGGCTGCTGCGGTGGGCTCAGGTGCAGCAAGGACTGTGAGGCTGGTGCAGGGCCACAGGGTTTCGTTCTGTTGCCCACGGGGTCACTGTGAGTTAGAAGCAACTCAACGCACCCAACAACAACATGGATTAAGAAAGGGGGCCTGGCAATTTACTTCCAAAAACACTAACCCATGAAAACCTTATGGAGAACAGAGAACGCTGTCTAATCCTGTGCTGGGACAGAAGCCCCTCAGGTTGGAAAGCACAGACTTACAACTGGGGAAGAGCTACGTCTCAAGATCGAGGCAACCTTAATGATGTGGATGGGGTACAGCTTTCTGAACCTTCACCTGCTGATGGGGCAGGACCCAAAACAGGAACAAACAGCTGCAAACGTCCATTAATAATCGGCATGTGGAACGTATGGAGTATGAATCTAGGAAAATTGGAAGTTGTCAAAAATAAAATGGGCAGTAAGATTAAGATGGAGGAATAGGCAGAGAAGCAACACAGACCTTCTTCAACAAAGAAAAGAGAAACCAATTGACAGAGATACAGAAGATAATCCTGGAGCCCTGAGGTTTGAAAGGAACTATACAGAAGTGGATCAGGCACCAACTAGTGGAAAAACCTGAACGAAAACAGTGAGTACAGAGATGGTCGGAGCTGCAAACTGTCAGCTACTCTGACGGGACCAACAGCCTGAATATTTCCAAGTGGTGTTGGGACCTGAGAATTGCCCTAAAGATCAACCCTGGTCACCAAGGGCTGCGGGATGACTGTGCTGGTGGCCTATGACTAGGGAAACAGCAAGGAGGGAGACTACCTGAGCTGTTGACTTTCCATGGTCCGCAGGGCGTAGCCATTTTGATTGTTCACATGCGACAACCATTTTCAATATTTAAAGTGACCTAGGGTACAGTTTGGAAGTTGTCAAAAACTAAATGGAATGCATAAAGATTGATATCCTCAGCATTAGTGAGCTGAAAATGGACTGGTTTTGGCCATTTTGAATCAGACAACCACATGATCTACTATGCCGGGTATGACAGTTTGAAAAGGAATGGCATGGCATTCATCATCACAAAGGATGTTTCAAGATCTGTCCTGAAATACAATGCTGTCAGTGATAGGATAATATCCATACGCCTACAAGG